AATCGCGCGCATCCCGCGAAGTTTGCGCCAGAGCGGTCAAGTCTCAGGTCACGAACTCACTCTCTTCGAAATGCTCTAGAAAGCGGAAAAAAGTGGCTAGAAGTAATAGAAGAAAATGGGTCAAATTTTGAACGGTGTGGTTATGGATAAAGGATTCATGACTCTTTCCAAAATTGTTCTAAAGCGCGGAAAAGGTGGTTAGAGTATGCAAAAGAATTCCCCGACCTATATAATCCATTTAACATCATCAGCAACATTAGATATGCTCAGTCACTGTGGAAAGTTTACAATCAAACTCGAATATCTATAAACCACGTATGTCATTTTGTCTGTTTCCCTGTTTGTCTCTTTGTTGGTCACCACCTTAGGATGCGCTATTCTGCAAATGATCTGGGATAGCTAATCTAGGCTGGAATATGTGGGGTTTCAGCCGAGCTAGTCCACAAAACATGACCGTAGACGGAACTTGCTCACAAGGGGAGGAGATGAGCGCAAAAAATGAAATGTTTCACCGGAAATACTTAAGTCATGTTTTCACGAACTAGGGTATTCATTTCGAATGGAATATGGATGGCAGTATAGGAACTATGAAATTAGTTGTTAGGACTGAGCTTTGTGCAGAAATTTGCTTTATCGACCTAGAGTGTTCTAATTTGAAAGCCGTACAGACGGTAGAACGGAACAGTGGCAATAGATGGCAGGACGTAATTCCGGAGCGTACGCGGAAATTTATTCCTTTGAATAAAACGTTCAAACGTGGAAGGTATATGGGTAGCACGATGATAACACATAGGCAAGGTGGGAGCAGTAAAAGTAAGTAGCCGGTGCAGACTCCACCAGGGGTTTGAATTTGGAAAGAATGTGCATGCGCTTGTTGGCGTGTGTTTGTCTATTGGTCTGCTGGTACGTGTGTATCTGTTAGTACGCGTCTGTTATTGTGCATCTGTATTGGTGTGTGTATGTGCGTATGTATGTGTGAATGTATGTTTTTGTTGGTATGTGTCTGTTGGTGTGTGTCTGTTGAAACGGATGTATCTGTTGATGCCTGTGTCTGTTGGTGCATGTTGTTGTGTGCATGTCTGTATGTGTATGTGTGTTGTGTATATATTGGGCCGCCCGGACGCCGGACTTCCCTTCTCCTTATGGTAGGGTTGTGACACTCGGCAAATCGATCTCTCCTCATTCGGAACGAATGATATTTTTGGGAACATGAAATTCGACAGAGTAACAGGGTATGCAAGATGTATTCAAAATGAGCTGATGCTTATGCCTATATTTAGGAGTCTGAATCTGTAGCTGTTCATCTTAAAAATGATAAGTTCAATTGGTAAGCAACCAAAGCCCTGAATGATAGTTGCAAATGTTGTCGAGCCATACCATCATCAAACTTCTTTATCAATGAAGCTCCCTTTCTCTACGGATATACCATTAAATAAGAATTAGATTATCAGCGGCTAAGTTTTGCCAAGAACGATATCGAAGCGAAGAGAAACAGTGATTCGTCATTGAGCCTCCTGTGCTCCACCAATTTTGAACGCCCATAAGTCAAATTAGCAATTATCGCGCAAATCCCGTCTCCTGTGGGAAGAATCCGGTTCTGCCACTCACCATAGTTGTTCCTATCCTGCCGCCTGTACTTCTACCGAGTTTGAACATTGTAGGTCCACGGGGACAATAGCTGTGATATTCCGCTCGAATATTATGCACAAATGCCCCCCCCCCCCCGTGAACGGAGTCCGATCCTACTACCCGTCATAAGTGTTCCCATCCTGTCCTCAGTACTTCTTCCAAATTTGGACACTCTAGGTTCACGGGGACAAGAGTTATGAATTTCCAGTCGGACACCCACACACAAACAAGCACACAGACATTATTGCGTTATATATAGTAAGATGTTTCTGTTGATGTGTGTCTGTTGGTGTGGATGTGTTTGTTGGCGTGAGCCTGTTGGTATATATATGGGTGTGTGTTTGTTGCTGTGCGTTTGTGTCCGTTGATACGTGTGTATCTGTTGGTACGTGTGTCTGTTAGAGTGTATGTGTGTTGGTGGGTGCATGTGTGTATGTAACTGTGTTTGCGTGTTTCTGTCGGTTTGTGCTGTTGGTGTAGGTGTGCCTGTTGTTGTAGGTGTGTCTGTTGGTACGTGTGTGACAGTTGGTGCATGAGTCTGCTGGTGTGCGTTGGTGTGCGTGTAGGTGTATGTGTGTATGTATGCTTCTGTTGGTATGTGTGTGTGTCTGTTGGTGCGTGGGTGTGTAAGTAGGTGTGTTGGCGGTGCATACGTGTACGTTTATATGTGTTTGCATGTGTGTGTCTTTAGTGTAGTGTACATGTATGTATTGTGTGTATGTATGTGTGTATGTGTATATGTGGGTGTTGGGCATGTGTGTATGTGCATGTCTGTTGGTATTTGTGCATGCAAGTTTGTGACTGTCTCTGTTGGTGTGTATATGTGTCTCTTGGTGTGTGTGTGTGTTAGTGCGCGTAAGTAAAATATGTTGTGTGCATGCGTGTATGTGTATATGTGTATGCAGGTGCATGTGTGTATCTGTTTCTGTGTCTGCTGGTGTTTGAGATTGTGTCTGTTGGTACGTGTGTGTCTGCTGGTGTGCGTGTATGTGTGTATGTGTGTATGTGTGCTGTTGTGTATGCGTATATGTGCGTGTATGCGTGTTTGTGCTTGTTGTTATGTGCAGGTGCTTGTTGGTGTGTATATGTATGCAGATGTGTATGTGTGTGTTCGACCAAAAATCCATTTATGGCTCGTGATTCCGCAAGTATAAGACAGGCTTTGTAAACGGCAGGAACAGTTTCCGCTCACAGACAGAAATTCTAGGATTCTCTAGGAACAGGGGTGTCAATTCCGGTACGAGTACATCCGGAGGAGGTGGGGGGG